ATTGGAGTTAATACAGTGCGATTTTTAAACTTTTCAAAGCAGAAAAAAAATGTTTTACAAAGAAGGAGAGTAACAATGGAGCTTTAAAAATTGGAAATTGGATGAAATGACACAAAATAATATTTATAAAATAATAAATCCTTTCGATATAAAAAAGCGATCTAATACTTTCTAATTAATTTGTTTTTGTTTTTACCAATTTTTCTGGAAAACTTTAAAATGCTTGAATAAATATCAGAAAAACAACCTTTACTGACGATTGTTTTTCTGATGTATTTATGATATGATACAAAACATTACAGTGTAAAACTTAAATAACAGTGTAAATTTTATATAACTATTACTAAAACAAATTTTACTTTATTTATGAGCTTTCTTATCTAAATATCAAAATGTTCGCAAAAATACTGCGTCATATGCGTCACCTGTTGAGGCCTGTATATATGTGTGTCAAGGCCTGTATATATGTGTTATTCAATTCAAGATAAATTTTTCATTTTTGCGATTTTGAGATAAATGCTACCAGCTTCATATATATATACATACACAAGCAAAACAGCTTCATATATATATACATACACAAGCAAAACAGTTCCAAAATATACTTAACAAACAACATCCATCATTAAAATATACGATAGAAGCTGAAAATGAATTAAAAACACTAAATTTTCTTGATGCCACCATAATTAACAATGCTAATGATAAATATGATCTTAAAGTTTATAGGAAAGATGCTATAACCAATATTCAGATTAAACCTCATTTAAATCATGATCTGGAAAATTTAAAGTCAATATTCAAAGGTTATATTCATAGAGCTTACAGCATATGTAGCGAGGCATATCTTCAAGAGGAGATTGATTTTTTAACTAATATATTTAGTGAAAATGGTTATTACAAAAATCAGCTTCATATCATTGCTAACCAATAAAAAGATACTAATATAGTTAAAATAAAAAGATATACTAATATAAATGAAATCCCTAATGCAAACAAAATTCAAATACCAATGAATCTAAATGCACTTTCTACAATCTCTTTACCTTGGATACCATTATTATCCCTAAAACATGAATCAAATTCAAAATGAAAAATGAATCAGAAGGTAGAAGAAAGTTTTTTGTTTTATCGTCTAATTTGCCAAACAGGAAAAGATGCTTCATGCCAATGTTTCTGAAAGTTTTTATCCTGGTAAAATTTGTTGATAAATAAAAATTGCAGTTAACTTAGAAAATATTACAAGAAACTATATAACAATATAAAAACGATATAAAACCATATAATAAAAATTTTGATAGATACTTCTCAATTTCAAGTAACTCATAAATTAATTGGAGAATTAATTTGAATCAATTGGAGACTGCATTGGATAATAAGTCATTTTCAACAGTTAAAGACTTAGATTTTAACATTCTTGTCGAAAAATTAAAACCTTATTAATAAAGAATCAGGTAAACATGGAAAAATCCAGTCAACTTTAAATTGAGATTTCTCTAAAACCATAAATGCTTTTTATTTCAAAATATTTTTAATTAAATGTGTTTACATCAATAAGGGTTTCAACTTAACTTTATAGGGTTTGATAGGCTGTTTGGGATCAAATTTTATAGTGGGTTGATGCCATCATTTTGCAGACTTTCTTTTTTCACCTTATTGGTGGCATTAATCCACTTTTTTTGGAAGTCCTTTTTATTTTTTGTTACATCACCTGTCTTACACTAGTCAATTCTAGGTTGTTTAGGTTGAAAATTTGATTACTTAAAAAAATTTTATTACAAAGTGTTCAGGACTATTATACAGACAATATTATGAAAAGAACAAATTATTTGAAGTACGTCCTGATGAGAAAATCAATTTTTAAAGGATATCAGGGCAACTTTTCCCCCTCCCGTTGCCCCCCTGTATTTATTAAAAAAAAAAAATTATGCCATCTTTAGAAAAATCAAGCATCAGTTACATATTCAAAAATTCAATAAAAAATATCTTGGCGTTCAAAAGATATAACCATTTAAAATAAAACTACAAAAAATTAAGTTTACTTTACATTAAAATATAGTGTAATACTCATGATATAACAAAGCCTAATCCGCAATATTATTGTATAACATAATAAAATTATATTTTATTTCATGGAAAAATATAAAATCATCTGCTATATATATATATATATATATATATATATATATATATATATATATATATATATATATATATATATATATATATATATATATATATATATATATATATATATATATATATATTTACTCTGAAACAGTATAATATAATCCATAATATATACTGATTTAATGTAATCTTCAAAACTATATAATATACAAGATATGTATAATTATGTAATCAATAGGAAAGAAAAAACTTAAATTCTATGACTTGAATATTCAACTATTGCCTTTCTAAGAAGCTCTCCATGGTTCTCTCTGAACTCTGAAGTTGAGAATCTGCTCAGTGTTTTCAACATATTATGATGAACAGATTCAGAACATTGTTCAGAAAATACTCCCAATGGCAGCTTAGTTCTATTTAAAAACATGACATGATGGTGTTCAATTTTATGACCTTTCCATCCCATAGAAAGATTGTGGTTGAATGTAGTCTTCACATACTCTTGGTTTTCCTAAATTAATAATTTAAAAAGTGGTTAATATAAACAAAAATTAAAACTTTTGTTTTTAAATGTATGAATTGTTTATGCATTTATGTAACTATTACTTTTAACTTTCTTATATATGTTGCAATGGCATCAGCATAACTGTCATGGAGTTTCATTCCGAAACACATGTTTACTACTAAATGTAAACTTTAGTGTCATTTGTGAGAAATTGCTTTTGATTCAATAAATATTTCTTTTTAAACCATAATTAACTTTTAATATATAAATACTTTGTAAAATTAAGTATATTTAAAATTTACCTGAAGAAAAAGACTTTAACAGTTCAACAACTGGATAATAATAAGAAAAGTTATCTAAGATAAATCTTTTCAAATCTGGCAAAAGCTTTCGTATTTTGTTAGGATTTCTACCATCCAGTCCACCTCCATTATACCCATGCCAAATAATTCCATGCTTTTTTAACCAAAGAGCAACATCAGGTTCCTTACAGAAGACGTTTGAAATTTCTGTTATAATCTTCATCATTAAATGAAGTTCTGGAGGAGGGATGACATCAAGCACATACATCTCTCCAGACTCAACCAGGAGACATGGATGTATAACATTCTTATAGAGTTGCATAGAGCTTTTTTTAAATCCACTTTCAGCAAAGTTTTTATACGTGTTCTTAAGCATATTAAAGGTTCTCAGTTCTCCAAGATTAGTTTTATCACCATCACAAAATAAACACGAATATTTTCCCCCATGTCCTGACAAACCCAAAACTATGTTGCATAATTTAAGATCTGCAGCAAGGTAAAACTTTAAATTGTTTAGCTTTGTTTTTTCTATAAGAATTTGAAGATTTGTGTGGCTTTCGCAAACATTTTTGGCAAAAGCCAATATTATAACTTTGTTCACTCCAGTATTCTTGGTTTCTTTGGATTCATAATTTACTTCTCTGTTAAAAACATTCATAATAACTTTTAAAGACCCTTGGCCATTATCTATTCCTATATGAATAATAATATTCTCGACTTCTAGTCCCCTAGCAATGCAAACATGGTTAACTAGAGATACTGGATCTTTGACACTAGATCTTTAATGACAGTTTCAATAGTTTTATTTTCTTTAACTTTATTTTTGGATAGAAATTCCACTTTTTCCATTGGGTAATAGTTATTTAAGGCATGTGACATTATCTTAATTTTTTTGGAAGAATTAGATTCCACACCTAATCTACCCAAATCTTTTCTTAATTCCATTGCTATTGAATCAATAGTACAGTCTGACATATCATGCTTTCTTTTGATATTATAGAAAGTTTGGGTAGAGATTGGGAAAGTTTTAAGAGTTAGGTATTTCCCTAACTGGAGACTCAAAGGAGTTCCTCCAGTCGACAAAGTAACAGTGTTATCTAACTCAATATTTTTAAATTGTTGAATTTCTTTCAGAGATTTGCTAAGTACTTGCTCAACTGTTTTTAAACCTGAAAATTTGTAAATATGTTTTAGGATTACGTAAAAATTTAGGTTTAAAAAAACTATAATTAAGCTCTTACCTGTTGACATTAGCAGTGTTTTTAGGTTCTGTACAATGTCTCTCTTATTACAGGGATGTTGAATTCCAGATCCAATTCTCTGATAACAAGTACAACAAATTTTATCTATGACCTCCTTTGGTACTTCAGGGTCATTAATGTATATGTTTAATACATCCTAAATAAATAAAAAACTATACTTATTTAAAATATAGTTAATTAAACTATAATAAAAGTTATAATTTTATAAATGTTTTTAATGTAAATAATTGAGCTACATATATGAGTTCTTTATAAATTACCTGAAGGTTTATAGATTTGGATTTATCTCTTGACATGATACAGAGCAGGCAATTACATGTTGACACTGTCTCACCTATATTTATATATATAAACAAATGTTTATTCATATTATTTATAGCTTTTATTATATGCATAAGTAAGTAAAAGTAAAAGTATTACCTTTAAATCTCGGAAGTAACTTTATTCTCTCTGATGTGAGCAACCGCCTCTCCAAAGTAACTAGTAATAAAGTTTCTTCTTTTTTAGCTGAGTACAAATAAATCTTGCAGGTTGGACATAACCCAATAGGGTTGGAAAGAAGTGTCATATTATAGTTAGTGTTGGCATACAGTTGAATCAAGATTACTAAAGGATTTCCAGTTACCAGTTCAATGCATTTTAAATTCTTATCACCACAGCAAACACAAATAAGTTTTCTTGAAGAGAAATGATCCCTTGGTTTGTTTGGCATGTTAACTATGTTAATTATGCTAGTTTTAATGCAAATAAATAATAAATATGTTATATTTTTAACTAAAGCATATACATACATACATATTAAATTTAGTAACACTTTGACTAGTTTTACTTTAAATGGTTATATCTTTTGAACGCCAAGATATTTTTTATTGAATTTTTGAATATGTAACTGATGCTTGATTTTTCTAAAGATGGCATAATTTTTTTTTTTTAAATAAATAAAGGGGGGCAAGGGGAGAGGGGAAAAGTTGCCCTGATCCCCTTTAAAAATTGATTTTCTCATCAGGACGTACACCAAATAATTTGTTCTTTTTCGTAATATTGTCTGTATAATAGTCCTGAACACTTTGTAATAAAATTTTTTTAAGTAATCAAATTTTCAACCTAAACAACCTAGAATTGACTAGTGCTTATGAAGAATTCCTAAACTATTGCCCGAAAATCTTCAATCTTGCGCTCTTCGGGACGATTTGGAGGATTCGTATCTTATCTATTCACCTTATCTTTGCACCACTGTAGAACCTTTTCAAAATAGTGAGAATCAGCAAGATCTGGCTAAAAAAGATATCGGTATTAGTGTTTTTTCATAAATGGCAAAAGTCTTTTTAAAAAGCATTCTTTGATGTAGAGATCGGTAGTAAAGGTCTTCTTAGTGACAAAACAAGAGGACTGCATACCACAGCACAGTAGTCTGAAAAGCTTGATTTTTAGCCAAAATTTAAATACAACATTGTCCAGGCAATTCAAAAATATATAGGTTTCATAATTTTTCTTGAAAGAAAAGTCAATAGCTGTATCCAAGAGGGCTTTAAAACTGATGAATAATTTTTTTCAAAAATACAACATTTTTTTATTTGTGTATAAATTTAAAACTATATGCCAGACCTTGTGATGAATAAAAACTGCGCGACGCATAAGCTCGACGTGATTTTTGACGTCATTAAATTCTTTTTATTTGCTTTTCATATTTATCGGCATTAACTGCACCAATTTACTTAATTACCGAAAAACTACTTTAAATCATCAATGTAGAAATGTTATTATTTAAAATGTTTTGGAATGTTTCGTTTTTATGTTTATTTTCTCGACGTTTGACACGCTTTGTCTATACTTATCGAATAAAAATCATACCTAAACATTTAAAAAAGATTATAAAATATGCTAATATTTGATTTTTTTTTTTCTCAAATATGTGTTTTAAAGTTTTTCAAATAATTATTTTTTCTTTTTAAAAAGTCAGCGAGTAATAAACTGGAACTTTTAATATTGTACGATTAAAAACTGTGCAATAGCTAATATTTTTACCAGCAATTTTATATAATATTTTTTTAATTATTTTTATTTATTTTCATAAAGCGGTTGATAAGCACAATCACTTGTGTTACTAAAAACTTTAGTGAACGTTTTGAATAGATTTTTAATGTTTACAAAGAATTTTATTTCTAGTAAAATAAAATAAAATGTTAGAATGAGCACGCTTCGTTGAGTTTCGGTAACTTTTAACAAAAAAGCGATTGTTATTATTTAAGTAATTTTTTTTGAGTTACTTTTTACAAAAATTTTAATAACTGTACTATTTTATTGAATCAAGTAGAATACGTTTTAATATTAATCTATTTATTTTTTTTTAATTTGCGCTTACCAACTTTTAAATTTTAGTTTCCTCGAAATTACTCTTAAATACTTTAAATATGTCTAACAGTTAATAAACATTTTCAAATCTATGGAATAATTTTAAAACCTAACAAACACCCATAAAATAATTATTTAAGTTAAAAATCTAAAACTAAAAGAAAGTATTTTTGTTTAATTTTATCAACAACTTTGCTATTGCTGAATAATTTTATTAAAATTTTCTTTTTTTTTATTCTGAATTTTTTCTACTTGTAAATAATGAGCATATTTATTTTTTTTGTAATTCAAACTTTTATATCAACTGCGTGTGGTTTTTAAAATACTTTATTAAATCTTAAAATTATTGTAAATTTCTTCATTAAAGTTCCGCTAAAAAATATCTTTAAATATACTCAAACAAAAAATATTTTGCTCGACGCAAATAGCCCTAGCTACACGCAAAATTGCTCTTGGACGACATAAAATTCACATCACCCGACACTTTATCGCAAGGTCTGATATGCACATATGTATAGGTTTTTTTATAAACATATTTTATAGTATAGAGTTTGATTTTAAATAATAATTTTTTATTATGGTGTATTTGCATAAGTTATTTATGTTTGAATCTAGTATAAAATAAAAGTTTATTTTTCAATTTCAACTTTTTCCTAAAACTAATGTCCGCATTCATAGTCTTGATTGATATGATTTTACTAAATCATAATATCCATATATTATTCAAAAAAAAAACCAGCTGCAAATAAAATTATTTAAACCAACTTTAAAGCTCCCAAAGTATACCTTTTTTATGTTATCAAAAGAACTAGTGTCATTATTTTTGTTTTATTTCTATAAATACATGTTTAAAAACTTTTTTTTTCTTTATACAATCGCATTTGCTACCTAAATGTTAACAATAGTTCAAATATTCATTTTTTTTTATTTTTATAAAATATTCCAAATTTTATGTAAAACGCAAAGTCCGCAATGAAACATTATATTTATATTATATTTTGAAAATCTATTATCTTTTAATAATTCCTAAAAAAATCAGCTGCAAATAGTTAAAATAAAGGAACTAATATTCATTGCAAACCTTACCGTATTAACACTATATTTGTGTTGTTTTTATACCACTTGAATTGGTATATTGAAAATAATATAGTAGCTTTTTATTAAAAAATAAATACCTAATTTATGATAAGTTTTAGGATTTTTCGCTTGTGATTTTTATTATTTATTATTCAAAAATATTGATGAAAACTTGTGAGAAAAAAAATGGAAATCATCTTTTAATTAAAATTTAACAAAACTTTTAATTAAAATTTTAGGTGATGATTAAGTTTTGGCTTGATATAAAAAGCTTTTTTGTTGGGATGGGGGCTGGGAGGGTTGCTTTTAACCCCCTCTCCCTCGCTTTAGCCCATTTATATATATATATATATATACATATATATATATATATATATATATATATATATATATATATATATATATATATATATATATATATATATATATATATATACACGATATATTATGATGCCACAAGCATAAAAATAAAAAATTTTTGTGAAATTCTTGACAGGACCGCTTATCTGATAGGAAGTTAAGAAAATTTGGCCTTGCAATATGTTTAGTCGTATTCAATTATGCACATACTTTTATCTGCCATTATTTTAACCAGCTTCTCTGCATGTCAAATTCCTTTAATTTAACCATTTAAGCTTGTCTTAAGTGTCTTATTTTTTTTATAAAATGCTTTAATGCTTAAAAACTTTTTTAAGTATATTTTTAATATAATGCAAAGTCTTTAATTTTCTCACTAGATCTTGCTATGACTAGGTCGGATTTCTTGCTATTAAACTGAGAATCGACTTTACCTTTTTATACTTATAGAAAGTTTTCTTTCTTCAACTTCCAGGTTTTCCTTCAAAGCTCTGAGTAGATTTCAGAACATTTGTACGTTTAGCAATTAAGCATATAATGTCTATGGATTTTTGAAAAAAAAATTAATAACTTTTTTATGCATCTTAATTTGTTTCTGATAAAATTTGCAAATCATTTATTTGTAAACAAAAGTTTATCAACCCAATTAAAGATAAGGAAGTAATGTTTAATTAAAGATAAGGAAGTGATGTTTAATTTTAAAAATAAAAGAAATAAAAAGCGTTTGTGGTTTTAAAGAGAGATTTAAAGTACTCTTTAAAAATAAAATGTGTTTTATTGTCAGCATTAATATATTCAGCAGTTTTCTCTAACTAATTAAAGTGGTTTAAATGTTGTAATATTTGCGTTTTTACTTTTACTTTTTCACTTTAACTTTTTTAAGTATTACATTAAGTAAAAACAGTTACTAAAAGTAATGTTGTAATAGTATTGATTACATTGCTTGTGCATTACATTATAACTTGCTCATTACACTGTAATTGTAACTTAAACTTTAAATTATAACTTAAGCTGTAAACTGTAACAGTAACTTACGCTATTTTTAACTCGGCCAAACAAGAAAATTATAAAATAATATTTAAATACGAGAGATATCATGTTAAAAAAATAACAATTACAAACTAATGTACAAAAGATACTATTTTATACTAATGTCTCCTACCTCCCCCCTCCCCCACCTCCGTACTGCAAATTGGAGCCAAATAGAAGGAGAGGGAGGTTCGAAAAAAATTTTTCCTAATTAGTTTTTTTTACTTTAATTCGATGCAACTGATGCAACTAGTTGGTAACAAAAGTTAAAACATTATTAGTATAGTAAAATCATCGTTTGTCTTCTGAAAACTTTCTTTCCTATTAAGAATCCTTCAACATATTCTAAAGAAGAATATCTTCATTCTTAGTATGTGTGACTGTTCAAAATGTATTTTTAAAGCTACATTTTTCTATCAACTTCTATCTGACAACTCATTCTAAAGATGCAAGGGGCCATCCATAAAGTACATACACAGGTATGGGGTAGTGGGGGTTTCCCAATAGCGTATGAATGCGTACAAGAGGAGGACAGTGAGCATGTAGGCAGTTTGACTATTTCTCCTAAACTTGATTTTACTTTTTATTTTTTAATAAAAGATTGAATTTCACATGTGTAACAAATCAGTATTGTTATTTTCTGACTTTAGTCACAATTTTTTTTTTTAATTTCTTTTAAAAATAATGAGAGAAAAGAGAAATTGAGCGACAAATAATATGGTTTATTATTCGCAACGTAATTTGATTAGTCACGAGATGAGAAGCAAAAATATGTCAAATAAAAGCAAACTTTTTTTGAATTATTTTATTTTAAATCACTGTATGCAAACTAGTTTTTATCATTTCCCTTAAAATGTTAAAATATGTTGTAACATTTTAAGATTTAAATAAGTACATTAAGTAACATTTAAAGTTTGAATTAAGTACATAGAATGTCAAATAAGCTAAATGCTTTATTTTGTTTTCAATGTTTTGAAATATTTACATGTTGAGGAAAGGGAAGGGGGGCTCTTTTTTGAAAAAAATAATGTGAAGGAGGGGGGGGGGTTTTCTATAGCCTACAGGTTCATACAGTGGGGGAGGGGAGTCCTAAATCAGTGGTTTTACTGCGTATGTACTTTATGGATGCTCCCCAATGTTATTTAACTTTTTTTCAGGGCTGTGGAGTTGGAGTCGCGGAGTTGCAATATTTTTAGCGGAGTCGGAGTCGCTAAACAAAATCGCGACTTTGACTCCAATAGTAAAACTTCTCTGTATTGTATGTGCATGTGCAAAACATGCAATTAACCCTATATTCATACTAAACTTTAAAGAACGTTTCATTAAAAAACATTTTTTTTATCTTACTGCGTAATATTTTTTAAAGAATTCAAAGAATTTTTTTAATAAATTTGCTTTGAATTTTTTAAAAAATAGTCAGAGTCAGAGTTATACTTAAAAAATTTAACAACTAGAATCGGAGTCTTTATTTTTTTTTTACTCCACAATCCTGCTTTTTTTTTTTTTTTTTTTTTTTTTTTGAATTTAATTTGTTGAATTTTATTTTTTTATTTATACTTTTTATGGTATAGTATAAATGTTATAATATTCATTTTAAGCCAAAACCAAAAAATCGGAAGCAACTACTAGCCGAGCAGCGCAGGAGAGAAATAGAGATGGCCAAGATCGCCAAAGAACTTGAAGAAAAAAAGAAAAAGGATGATGAAAAAGAACAGGTTTTTTTGCCCATTAGTTTTTAATTTTTTGATATATTTTTTATTATTCACAAATATTTCTACAAAATAAGCTTATCAGTATATAGGTTTCTTCAAAATAAGCTTATCAGTATATAGATTTCTACAAAATAAGCTTATCAGTATATAGGTTTCTACAAAATAACCAGTATAAAGTTCTAAGTAATATTAACAGAATTAATAGTTTTAAGCCATTAAAATGTTTGTGTAAACAAAATTAAAAAAAAAAATTGAAATAAAAAGATTTTATAAAATAGTAATTTTGTTATAAGGTATAATAAAATCATTAAATATTAGATAAAACATGAAATTACATAAAACTTTGTTGCTGTGTAACAAAATACATTAAGACAATAGAAGATTTCGTAATTAGGCGGCTATTATAAATCATGTGATACAATGTTTTTCTCGGGAGGGAAAAAATGTAAACAAACCAATAGTAAACATGTAAACAAATAAGAAAAAATACATCAGATGTATTATTTTTAAATGATATACATTTACAAAAATAAATACAAATAAAGTACAAGTCAAAAAAAAATTTAGTAAAGAATATTTTATTAATACCTTTACTTCAATAAAATAGAAAAAGATGGTTTTGTTTGAAAAATTTACTTTGTTTAAATCTTTATTAAGATACTCCAATTCTTTAAATCTTTATTTAAATACTTTTGTATTTTTTTTCCCATCTAAATACTTTTTTATCTAAATACTTTTTTATAGCATCTTGCTCATGAATTCCCCATTTGATAGAAGCAGTATGAGGGTATAAAGTTCTTCTTTATGAGGGTATAAAATCTCAGCAACAAGAGGAGTTAGTTTCTTAGAACTTGTATTTCTAGAAAGAGTATTAAAACTGATGTTTGGATGCAGTTATCCTCCCTTTTCTCATTTGAAACCAGGTATTTCTTTTAGCTTGATCTCTTGTGTCATACTCCACGTTTTTAATTGTTTCGTGTGTTAAAACCATTTTTTCTAAAAATATTTTGCCTAATGTTGACTTATCAGGGTTAGGGTGGTCTAAAAGTATTTCAAATAATAGCTCTTCAAGATCAGCATTATTTACAATATTTTCATCAGATTTTTTGATTTAAATATTACAGCAGAAGCCTTGGATATATGAATGTTGTTTAAAAAAGTTTTAAATAAATGTTCATGAAATTCACAATGACTTTCGATTCTTGGATTAAATTCTTGCAATGCTTTCATCCTTGTGTTTTCCTTATTATTATGATTTTTTTCATTCAAAAATTTTTTTCGAACAACTAGGTCAGTTATTAAGCACGATTTTATATCTTTTCTAGAAGACTTATTCCAGACACACACTTGTTCTGTGCATGTTGGATTACACCAACCTTTGTTATTAGCATATTCCATTTTATAAAGAGTGCCAATAACATGATTTTAAACTTCAAAAGCTCCATCCATACACAAACACCAAGCAGAAAGAATATCATTATTATAAAAGGCAATCCAAAGCTTTCTTTTTTTGTGAATTTTTTGTGAACCACACACTTCAGAATATGCAAATAAAACATTTTTTTTTAACCTGAAGTGCATTATAGGGCCTACAAAACCACTATCGAAAAATGAAAATGCTTCTTGGTCCTTACACTTAAATATATTCTGAATCAAAATATTTTTTATTAAGAATATATGAAAAAATATTTCCCATTGTAATACTAGGCCACTCAGATAAGTCTTTTCTATTTTTCATTGGAACAGAGTTTGGGTCGATTAGATTAAAACCTTTTAGCTTGTCCGCATAATATTGATTAAGTTTTCTTTGCTGTTCTTCTGCTCTCTTTATAACATCTATATTTAATTTCATTGCAGTAAATGCTCTAGCAACAAGCTTAACTTTGCCTTTAGTAGTACTTAGCCCACGAACAGTTAAAAAACTAACAAGCTGTTTGGCAGATAAATTCAAAAAATCTTTGCATTTTTTATTTGGCATGTTAAAATACAATTTTCAATGATATATTTCCAGATAAACTACTTTTAGATATTAAACAAACAATAAAAAGATAAAGCGTATTGTCAAATTTGTTTATAATTTTGCCCTCCCGAGAAAAACTTTAGGCCACGTGATTCATAATTGCCGCTCAATTACGAAAAGGTCTATGCAGCAATAACTTAAATGTAAATAATAAATAGCAATAACTTAAATGTAAATATATATATATATATATATATATATATATATATATATATATATATATATATATATATATATATATATATATATATATATATATATATACACACTCATATACATATACATATACATATATGAGAACTGCATATTAACTTTTATAATTCTCTCTTGTTTAATACTGTTTAATACTTTAATTACTGAAACATTTTTCTAATGAATTTTAAAAGTTATAAATACTGTTCCAGATTCGTAAAATGCAAGAAATAGAACGTCAAAAAATACTTGAAGAGGAAATAAAAAAAGAAGAAGAAATTAAAAAAAAACAGTTCAACGAAGTTAAGAAAAAGAAAGAGCGGTATTTATCTTATAATTGGCTTAATAAGTATAAGAGATTTTTTTTTTGTAAAAGTCAGGCAAATTTATGAAAATGAGAAAGTGACCTCCTCCATGTTGCTTAAATTTTTTATATATTGATCAGAACATTAAAAAAAAGTAAAAAAGTTTTATTTTTGTCAATTTTTAAGGAAACTATTATAAATTTTTAAGGAAATTATTATAAACTATGATTGTACATGGTATTAGTGCAACTTTAACAACATAATCTAGAATTTAAGATTTATATAATTTTTTTAGTAAAACTCATTTATCTTAATTTTTTATTTCAATACATCAATCACTTAATGCTTAACTTCTGAGATTAAATTGTGTATGACCTTTTTATAACTTAATAAGCAAATAAACTAAATTTTCTTTTTTGTTTTTAAAATTTCACTTTTTTTGTGTTATCAGAGTTAAGATTTTTTATAAATTAAATCTATAACAAACCTTTTCAGTAATAACAAAATTTTTTGATAAACTTAAACAACTTCATTGTTTTTAAAAATTAAAAAAACTTCACTATTTTTGTGTGAATCAGTTAATTTTTAATTTTAAAGCGTCAACTACAAATAATATCTACCTTAAAAATAATAATTTGTTATTAACATATTGATCAATAGACAATCATTTCTAGGCTGCTTATGAACCTGGTTAGAGCTCATTTTTTACCCATCATTATCATTTAATCTTCATGAGTAAATATTTATACAACATTGCTTTCTGTCGATTTAAAAACCTATAAGTATTTCAAACTGGTCTCATGATCTTGTGATATGAAAGTAGTCATGCAATGTGGTAATTTGTTTTTCACAGAAATATTGACAGAGAATTAAAAAGTTAACATAGTTGTAAATAAATTTTTATCTTCTGAACTATTAACCTAGCTATAAAGCTATTAACCCTATTCAATGATGTTTCAGAACTGTATGAAGGCTGAATAACATGTGTTCTTTTAACATAGCATTAATTTCAAATGAAAAGGTACATATCATTTTATTGCAAAATCCTAATAAACATAACTGGTTGTCAAATCTTTTTTTTTTTTTTCATTTTTTTTTTTAATAACTGGTTTCGCTTAAGTTGTGCTTAATGGCACAACAACTGAATCCAGGGCTTAATCTTATGATTTCCATATTCTTCTCCAATTCTAATATGAAAATAATGCTACAATTTCATAGCTCTTACCAAATCCAAATGATTGATAGTTGTTAATGTACTTAATTTTTGGTCCACTACTTTTGCATCTTTAAAACTTGAATGTTTATTAGTAGTGTTTATTTCTGTTTGTTACTTGTTTATTAATTCTGTGTTTATTACTCTGGTTTTATTTATTTCAGCTGTCAAAAGATTATTACCAAAATCAAGATAACTCATTAAAATTGTCTTTGCAACTGTGCTATACCTGTTACATTAATCCTTTGGATATGATATTATCCATTGATCTTTTCAATATGATACTATCTATTGATTGTTTTTATATCATACAATCCATTGATCTTTTCTACAATCCATTGATCTTTTCTACAGGCTACAATCCTCTCTCAACTCTATAACACCAAAACACGAACCTTGAAGAACATATATATTGACTTTGAATGTATAACTCCAAAACACAAACCTTGAAGAATAAGGTTGTTGCGCTGAGAAACAAGTTTTTTTTTTTTAGGTACCCCAAGAAGTCCATTACGATCTTATTACAGAGCACTGCAGATGTGCATTTAATTGGAAGTTCATGCCTCCTTCCGAACCAATGTTGCAAAACTTGCCCAGAGGTGGGGTTTGAACTGCGGATTCTTTGTTTCTGAGGCAAGTACGCTACCACTGCGCCACTGCTGTTCTAAAATTCAGCGCAGTATTACCAGAGATGTGGTGGGGATTGAATTGTGAATTTCTTGCTTATGAGGCAAGCGCTCTACCACTACACCACTATTGCATTACATGTTGTAACTTATTTAATGCTTAAAACTATTATTTGGTTACTAACCAAATATTACTTTTATTATTTGGTTACTAACCAAATATTACTTTTATTATTTGGTTACTAACCAAATATTAGTTTGATTAAAAAAGATTAAAAAAATGAGTTAAAACTTATTACAGAACTTAATTTAAAGACTATAAAATGTATGAAAAAAAAAGTTAAATTTACTTTTAAATGAAATAACTTTCATGTTAACAAGAAAGTTTTGAATAATAAACCAAATAATAAAAGTAAATTTTTTTTTTTTTTTGTATTTTCAATATAGTAATTAAATATAGTAATAGCATTAACATGATAAATTTAATTTTTGAATAAAGTTTTGATTTTTAGCTTTTAGCTTTTATTCAATTGATCTTTTAGCTTTTATTCACTACTTTAAGAAAACAAAAAAAAAAATTTTGAAAGAAAGCTTTGTTTCTTTTCATATTCTTTTTGACTTTAATAATAAAAATAACTATTACAATAACTTAAAATATTTTAAGTTACAACTCAAGATAAAAGTTTTGTGCAGCTTTTTTTTTTTTTTTTTTTTTTTTTTTTTGCTTTCTTTTGCTTTTTTCAAACAAATAGATTCAAAAGTAGAAAAGTGAATACCTAAAAAACTTCACTGAAAAATTTAAGTTTATATTTTGAATGAACAGAACATTTTTGGAAAAAAATCGTTTCCAGGTTTTCTAACAAATAACAGTTTTTCTCTGTGTTCTAATCAAAATAATAAAAATTAAAAAAAGGTACTTAAAGGGGGTCACTTCCACTCTCATGATTTTTACAAAAAATGACAAAGTATTTTTGAGTGTAGTTTAGATTTTATGTTATTAACTTGTTAAGTATAATTTTTTTTTTAGCTTTTTTGTGTTTTAAGCTTTTTTAATATTTTTTAAAGTTTTTTTTTTAACAAAAGCACTGTTACAGGTAAGGTTTCATCTAAATTATTTTGCCCAAACCAGGACTTGGAATCAACCAGAGCATATGGTCATAATAAATTGCTTTTTAAATGACTTTAATATTGTAATTTGTTTTCAGAGAAGATAAAGAAAGAGAACAGAGATCATTGAAAGAAAAGGAAAAAGCTGATCACCTTAAAAAATCTAAAGAAGAAGAGCAAATAAAAAAAGAAGAAGAAAAAAAAAGGAAGGCAGAAGAAAAATCTACAAAACAGAAAGCTGTAAAAGATACCAAAGGTATTTAAATTTAAATCTAATATTTTTAATTTAATATTTTTGTTTCATACACTGAGCAGTCAAAAAATCACTTATTTAGTGACGTGAAAGAAAATTCAAGTCTATTTCTCGTCAATATTATTGCAAAAAAGTTATAAAGATCAAAAGCTTAAAAAAAAAAATTAAATCTAAATAATTTTTATTGATTGGATAAAAATTATCAGCTTTTTTTTAAGTATTAATAATCTTTTTATTATTGATACTGTTTGTACTTAGAAATTGAAGAGAGAGAAAAAGTTAATGAGAAGCAGAAGTTACAGGTTTGATTTGCAATTTAAAGTTGTTTATTAAGTATTACTCATGAAATATCTATAAATTTTAAATGTTTATCGATTTTACTTAAAAAATAGAAATTAAACTTTATAGTACTTTTATAGCATTGAAACTTGCCTCATATTTTTTAGACAAAACAACGATCACAGCAATATCAGCAATATCAACAACAACAGCAGAAGTATCCTCGTGAAGTTCCACCACGTTTTTTGAGACAACAACAGTTAAAACAAACTCCTCGTAAAGATTACGAATATTCTTCTAATGAAATTTATTGCAATATACCTCAATGTGAAGATGATAAAGACAGTGAAACTTGGGATAATGATAATAATGAAAATTTAGTTGTAGCGCCAGTTATTGAAAATTCCTGGGGTGGTTTGCCAGCCTCAGAGGACTGGGATTTAGAGTTAAATAAACAGGAAACTACTGACTGTGTTGAAATAGATAGCAGATCAGATACAATTGAAAGTGAACATTTTAATAAAAAAAGTGATTATAAACCAAATACATTAATAGAACAGCATTCCACAATACATAATTCTTCTTTAATAGCAAATTCTTCAATTAGTCCATTTACAACTATATCAACTGCAAATGTAAGTATTGCCCCTTGTAATGTAAATACAGACTCTTCTTGGGGAGCCAGTTTAACAGGCTCAACTTGGGAGTCAACTGTGAAAAACATTTTAAATTTTGAAGTAAGTGATAATATTGGGTTAAAAGAAAAAATGCAAAAAATAGATCCTAAAACTCTTACCTTAGATTCTACTAGTTACATTCAGACGTCTAATCCAAGAGTTACTTCTTGGGCTGGCCTAGATAGCTTTGAAGCTGGACCCAGTAAAATTGAAGAAAATGTTGTTTGTTATACTGAAAAAAAAAATATGAATATGTCAGATTGTTTATCAAATGCAATTCATTGTTATAATGAAACTGAGAAGGTTACTCAGTTAAGTGAGCAAATCTCTTTATCCTCTTCCCTTGATACTAAAATTGATAGTAATCTAAAAGTTACCGGGTGGTTGCAAAGCTCAAATCCATCAGAAGATTGGGAACTTGATAAACATGAAGAAGATCTAGGATGGACTACTGTATCTTTAAAAGCCAAGGTAAATATTTATACAAGCCAAAAAACTTAATTAATTTTACAAAAAATTAATTTCATTAAAATCAAACAATTTGTTTAAAGCAAAGTTTTTCGTTAATTTCAAATTTCATTTATTTATAAAAATTAAGATTTATTTGATGATTACTTTTGATGATTTTATGATTACTTATAACAATCAAAGTAATATTTAAAAAAAATAAGATTCATTTTGATCATTGAATCATTATCGCTAATTTTTACAGTTATATTGTTTACATTATTTATTGTCATTTATTATTATGCATATCCATCAATATCATGATTGTTTTTATTTTATTTTTTATTTATTTTTTTACAAATTTAAACTTGTTTTTGTTTTCAGCTCATTTTTTTTTTTTTTTAAATTTACTAATCATAGTACTGGTAAAAACAAGTAAATATTAAAATATATATATATAATTATATATATATATATATATATATATATATATATATATATATATATATATATATATATATATATATATATATATATATATATATAATATACACATACATATATATATACATACATACATATATATATATACATACATACTTATATACATTCCTTGCATTTTTTATCTATTCAAATCAGTGATTGTATGTACACTCCCTGCATGTTCTCTCTAAGTTAGACGATATATACACACTTAACCATATTATTATTTATTTTATTGAATAATAAAAACAAAAACATTCTTTATTAAAAAAAGAAAAAGATTAAGTAAAGTTTTTAAAGTAAAGTAATGTTAGGTAAAGTAATGCTTTTTGTTGTCAAAAGAATTATATCAAGACCATTTTATTTAATTAGAAGTTTCTTAGAATTTACTCTCCTAATGCTAACACATTCATGTAGCAGGTACAAATGCTTTGCCCTGCTTTCAATGTAGATACTAATGGATACTAATACCTGTCCTGCTGATAGACAATAGTTGCTCTGTTTAATGTAGGTAAATAGGTACTAACACCTGTTCGGCTGATAGATCCTGTTTTTAAGCTCTGTAAAAGCCAACATTTAGCTGAAAGATATATTTCCTTATTGCACCTCAGTTATGCACTACACAGTAGTTATTCTAATGGACACGTTTTAACAGATTTTTTCTTTTTTGTCTTTTGTACATTTTCAGGGGGTTTTGTGAGTAAAGTTAAATTTAAGTTTACTTTTTAGATTAAAGAGTCATTTCATTTTAAAGTAGCATACTTATTTCATTTTAGAGTAGCACATTTATTAATTTTAGATTAGCACACTTACATTTCAGAGTAGCACACTTACATTTTAGAGTAGCACACTAATTTCGCATAAATTACAAATTTAAAAAACAAGTAAAGATCAATTTTTGATAAAGTTGGTATTTATCTCGAAAACTCTTGCTTTTGACATTGCCAACTATAGGTTGCGTTTTAAAGAACAAGGTTATTTAATTTTTTTTTAAAGTTGATAAATATTGGTTTTAAGGTTTTTTATTTAACAAGTATTACTCAAACATTGTTGTATTTACAAATCTTATTTTATAAACGATTATTGGTTTACTATTAAACATAACGTTTTACTAAAACTTATATCAAAACTAGTTTTTGTTACTGAAAATTTTGATCATTTAAAACAAATTTTTTATTTTAAAATAAACACATTCAGCAATTATTTAAAATTGAAATCGAAAACATTCAGCGGTTATTTTAAGTTAACCTACACAACCACCTTAGTTAGCAAGGTTTGTATATTCTTATCATAATGGCAAAAGTCTATTTTTTTTCCATAATGGATTGTGTATTAATATTTGAAAAGAACAATCTATGAAATGAGTAATAATATAGTGTCTAACTTAAAATTGTCAATATTACAATCTTTTCTAAGTTTTGAATCAAGTTTAATTCATAATATATGCTTTCCTTTACTTTTTGCAATTATGCTTCTCCAGCAAGAAAATTGCAAAAAGTAAATTCACCTAAAAATTTACATTGTTAAATAACCTAATCAATATAAAAATCTTAAATTAGATTTGATTTGCTTTTGCAGTGATTATAGAAAGCCATCTTTGTTTTTGTTTAAAACACAAGATTAAAAGCTTTTCTCTTACCTATGATTTCTTATCAAACAGTTTATATTTAGAAAACTGCCCCTCCTAGTGTTACAAGTAATACTCCAACATCATCAAATCAATCAAAGTGTGAAGGTGTGATTGCTACACCTAATGCTGCAAACAATAATGCATGGACTAATCGGGCTTTGAAACAGCTTCTTGATATGGGATTTAAGGTATGATTTAAATCAAGTTTTTTATAATAATAAGCTGTAAGTTAAAATAATAAATTAAATCACCAATCATATCAGAAAATCAGAAAACACCAGACATTTAACACCAACACCAATGAAACATTTTTGACAGTTGTCTCTTTATTGGGAGGCTCCATAAGCACGAATTGGCATATGTGCAGACTGGCATAAGCGTTGCAAAAACTGGCATATGTGCGAATTAGCATATGTGCGCCAAAAGATTTTGCATACATTGGCATAAGTGCAAATTGGCATATATGCGAACTGGCATAAGTGCGAATCAGTTACAAAAACTAGCACAAGTCCAAATTGGCATAAGTGCGCCAAATAAATTTGCGAATATTGACATAAGTGCGAATTGGCATAAGTGCAAACTGGCATAAGTGCGAAGCAGTTACAAAAACTTGCATTAGTCAAACTAACATAAGTGCGCCGAATAAAATTTCAAATATTGGCTAAAGTGCAAATTAGTATTTCACATTTATGCCAATTTACACTTATGCCAGTTCGCACTTATCCCAATGTTTGCAAATTTATTCGACGCACTTATGCCAGTTTGCACTTGTGCTAAATTTTGTAACTGCTTCGCACTTATGCCAATTCACACTTGTGCCAATACGCCCTTATGCCAATGTTTGTAAATTTATTTGGCGCACTTATGCCAATTCGCACTTATGCCAGTACGCAATTACGTCATTTGCACTTATGCCAATGCTTGCAAGTTTGTTTGGCGCACTTGTGGCAGTTTTTGTAACTGTTTCGCATTTATGCCAGTTCGCACTTATGCCGATTCGCACTTACGCCAGTTTGCAATTATGTCATTTGCACTTATGCCGTCCCTTTTAATGACTAAACTTTTTTTTTTTTTTTTTTTCTATAAAAAACATTCTAGTAGTTAATAATTTAAGTAGAATCAGTAGAATTTAAGGATGGGACCTTCAACTTAAATTGGATCCAGGAGATTATGTCAGAGGGGAAAAAACAGTCAGTTTTAGGGTAGAGTCTGAAGAAGTTTGAGATAAAAGATTTATAGAGATTATTGCAGGGTCTGAACCATCAAATTAAAAACAAGAAGATACGCATGCCAAGGTCAGAGACATTATACAAATCAAGGAGTGAAGGTAAATGATTATTGTCATCTGGAAAATGAGTCACAAAGTTAGCTACCTGAATGAGAGAAGTACAAGAGTTAAAGCATTAGTACCAGCATGATCTTTCAAAAAAGTTTCAAAATTTGCTTCTAGAGACTTTAGAGATAAAAAACCATTCTGCTTGATTTTTATTTCAGCTGTTGAAAAAAAATTAAAATTTTTACTATAGTTTGTAGTTTCTCTTAATTTTTAAAAAAAGTATTATGTACAATTTGAATAATTAGCAGGATTTAACACTATTTAATTTCCTAATATTTGCAAGAATCTCTCCCATTTTACTTAATTTTTTATTTTCAACTTTATGGTTAAGCAAATCTTCTGCTAAAAAACGTTTTTGTTATTTTAAAGATCTAGTAACTATTTTATAACATTTAAAAATTCATTTCCAATCAGAAAATAAAATTAAAAAAGTTATTACATTTTGACAAGAATGACTTTTTTCTAACAAAAAATCTTATTCTAAAAAAATTTATAAAAACTTATTAAAATCAAATAAAAGATACATTGTATTATAAAACTCTTAATATAATATATAATGTTCCTAAACCGTTTTTGTCAAGATTTTAGCTATCCACAATATGGTGTCAATCTTTTCTGCAGTGATATATCACTTGGGTGTTATTAAAGTTTATTCATTTCATCTTTAATCAAATATATTTTGTTAAATTTTCATATATATATGAAGATTCATTTTGAATAACTACTTGTTGCTATTCAAAGTTTAACTATCAATTGCTGAGTTTCTATGCACTTAAGAAAATAAAGTTTTATGAAGGTGGTGAGATGCAAAAAAACATTTTGCATAAGAAAAGTGTCTATATATATGTATATGTATATATATATATATATATGTATGTATGTATAAATATATATATATATACATATTTATATATATATATATATATATATATATATATATATATATATATATATATATATATATATATATATAAAAATTAGTAGAAAATCACTTATCGAATTTTTTTATTTTATACTGTTTCATCAATTAAGGCTTATCAGAAAATTTTCTGAGTCTTTTTTTTGTTTTAGTAATACCTTTTTACGTTTTTTCAAGGGAAATACTGACACTTTCTTGTTTAACAGATTAAATGATCACATTAATATGTTATCTTTCGTAAATAATTTATGCCTAATTGAAGCTCAATTTTCCGATAAGTTCTTAAGTCCATTTTCTACTTAACGGCTTGCTAATGCGGTAAGTATATAAATGCGGTAGTGGTGTAGTGGTAAAACACTTGCTTCATAAGCGAGAGGTTCCGAGTTCGATCCCCATCATGTCTCTGGTAGTACCGCGCTCAACTTGTTTCTCCGCGCAGCAGCCTTGTTCATCAAGGTTCGTGTTTCGGAGTTATAGAGTTGAGAGAGGGTTGTAACCACTATTAAGTAGCCTTCTCGGCCTTGAGGAGGTGAATAACAAAAAATATATATAAATATATATCTGTTTGTATGTATGTATATACATACACACTATGTGTGTATGTATATACATACATACACCGAGATGTATATACATACATACACACATAGACTGTGTGTATGTATGTATATATATACTTCTCGGCCTTGAGGAGGTGAATAACAAAAAATATGTATATAAATATATATCTGTGTGTATGTATGTATGTATATACACCCACACTAGGTTGTCCCAAAAAAAAAAAAAAATGCTCTCTACTGATTCCCATTATATGTGACCTAAAAAAAGTTTGACAGTTTTTTTTTGACAGGAAGTGCTAGATGTAAAATCTGAGTTTTAATGTTTTAATGTTAAGTTAGCTTAATATTAAAAAAAAAAAACACAATTTTTTTACATTTTAGAAAATTAAAACAAAACAGTTAAATGCATATAAATCATTTCCAATTGTTTTCTACGATTTAACTTGATAGATTATATTTATAAATATGAAAATACAAATAAAATTAAAAAAACATGAAAACTAATATTAGCAAATTTAAGATTTTATTGCAGTGAAACATTTCTCAAAAAACTTTTTGAACAGTTCTCAAGCTCCTTTTTAGTCAAGTTAGTTCATACTCTCAATTTTCATACTAGTCAATAGTCAAAATTTTAGTTCATACTAGTCAAGTTTTTTCTAGACTTTTTAACTACAAAAAGTACATTTTGAAGGTGATCTTCATCTCTAATAACTGAAATAAAATCTTTAATGAGCTTAGTGTTTCTTTGTGCACCATCATTTACAACAAATATGTTTTTGATCCATGCAATAAAATCTAACAACTGAGGATGGTTAAAAACATCTATAATATTAAGACTATTATTGAGCCATTTTTTTATACTTGCTCCTGATATTTTAAAACGTTTGAGAAGGTAGCTTTACTCAGAAGTCAACTCAGGTAGCTCTGTGGTCTCTCCAAAATGTACATTTGATAGTTTACAATGCTGAAATTCATTTGGCTCTTCAAACTCAATCAGAGCTAACAGCATTCTTAGCTTTGTTTCAGGAGGAACTTCTTTACTACTAAGGGACAAAATACAGAGTTGCGGAGTTAAGTACCACGTATGGCGCCAATAAGAATATTTGGAATATTTGGTCGATAAGAATATTCTTATTGACTTTTCTCTATACATAGGCTGCCTGGATAGCTTTCAAATTATTGTAGGGAGCCAGAAATCCTTAAAAAACTTTTTTTAAACCATGGAACATAGCAAATTGCAATGAACAAACTTGCATCCTTCAACTGCAGCACTTCTTTTTCTGTCAAGATATTACTGATATCTTTGGTCATATAAAGAGTCAGGATGTAGATCGCATCTGCTAATAACCTTGCCTCATGGCAGGCGCCAGGTTAATGGAACTTAAAATTTTTTACTTCCGCTCCAAGGAAGGAGGCAAGTCTTCAAACTATACCATAATCATTCCTTGAAAACGCCATATCAGTAGTTGCATTAGTCAAAAATTTCTTAGCTTCCTCTGCAACAGTGCGAAGAACAGAGCCAATCTTCAGATCATCTCTTTGCCATCCAATTTACATAAATTTTTCACTTCACTAACTTTTTCATAGATTTCAGGCCACTTGTTATTTAGCTTGACATAAAGTAGTAAGTAAGTGCAGCCATATAGTGAGACACATGTACTTTATATATGTGTCTCCTACACATTATCCACAAAATTGGTATTTTCAAAATATCATTTTGTGGTCAAAATATCCATTGACTCCGCCTGTATTGCTTGCAGTTGTATCACAACATATACCAATGATCTACTCTTTACATCTGTAATATTCTAAAAGAATTACATCTGTAATATTCTTCCATGGTATTGTCATCCGGGAAACTCACTGAGGCTGCAAGTTGCTCGATTTTTTGAATAATGTTAAGCCCAGTAGTAATTTGTTTCAACAGTTTGGTATCAAAATGAAGAATAAGCCATTGGCCTTTAAGATGATTAGTTATTGAAATCCACTCCAAGTCTCCTTCAAGTTCTACATATTTGAACTTTTTTCTAAAAAGTGTGTTTCGTGAAAGCGGTATATCATTAATTTCTATACCTCCAGCTTTAAATACTTCACTTGAAATTGCCAGATGAGGTCGTACAAAAACATTGAACCTTGTTGGTGGAATAGCAGTACATTCAATTAAGACATTTATAAATAAATTAATAATTTTTCTAGTTTTTCCTGGAAGATTGCCAAACCATGGAAGGAGTTACATGTAAATGTTTTAAAGGAAATAATATGCTATTACTTAAGTTACTTTATTTTGGAAAAAAAATCTCACTACTAAAAAATGTGTTATTTAATGAACTTACTTTATATCTTCTAGCTTGGCATTATCTGTTCTCAATCTATCAGCAATAATATCTTTTTAAAAATTCTTAGGCGATATGTTAAAAAGCTGATAGGATTCTGTGAGAAAATCTCTCTAACTTTGATTGCTTCTCAAAGCTGCTATTCCAGTTTAGAAAAGACAATTTATCACTTTCTTTTAAATTAAGTTTAATGATTTTGGTCTTTATATTATACCCAGAAATCACAAATTTTTTGCCAAATCCAGCATTATCCCAAATTTTTTAAATCCTAGTTACCAAGCAAGAGTTATCAGGATCTGTACAAACACCATTTTCACAAACAAGATTCTTGGGTTCGATTTCAATTTGCAACCAACATTAGTAGAAGCGGGTTTGTATTTTACTTGTGACTTGCGAAGGATAAATTGATAGTATCTTAGAATATCATCATTAGATGGAAGCTGCCTCTGGGGTAAATCCCTCAGTCGGTACTTCAATAGGTAATTATACCTCAACCTTTCTGTATTTTTCCGTTTTTTCTTATTCTGTCCTATTACCTTCTTTTTTTAACTGTTCTACCCATTTTTATATGTATTTCGAAATAATCAGTTTTTCTTCGTGCACAAATTAGAATTCCTTTGTGCACAAATAATTCCATTTAGAAATTTTTTCCTTCAAAAAAAATTATTAAATGGAGTTATTTGTGAACCAATTCATGAGGAATTATACCAACTAATAATATTGTCCAGAGGGAATTATATCAATCGCTAACAATGTTTATAGAGAATGATCCTATTCTTTAATGATGTCCTATGGGAATTATTTGTGTACCAATTGTTTTATCATATTAAAACCTATTGAAATACTAGATAGCGCTGTTTTTATGTAAATACACGTGTACAAACCGTAAAACTCAGAATTTACATCTATCGCTTCTAGTCAATAAAAAAAAAAGTTTTTGGTAACTATTTAGGACCTATAGAATGGGGATCAGTGGAGAGCACATTGAAATTTAAAAACAAGTATGTTTTTGGGACACCCTAGCCCACACACTTATTTTTTTTTTTTTTTAGAGAGATCATGCAGAGAAAGCATTAAAAAATAACAATGGGATAATTGAAAGTGCAGTTAGTAAGTGTTTATTTTTTGTTTTGTTTTGTTTTTTCAGTTTATTTAATACTTTTTGACGTTTATTTTTTCAATTTGTAGCATGTGTATAACTAAAAGTACATATTTTTAAGGCGACCTTCTCATGGGAACTGAAAGTTCTGAGAAACAGTCTGTCGAAAAATCTTCTGAATCGGAGAATACTAGTACACTTAAGTTAAATCGCAAACAGCGTCGTAAACTTCAACAAATGTCTGCGGAGCAATGTAATGATCCAATATCTAATCTTTCACCAAAACCAGTAGTTCAAGCAGAATCTTTATCATCGACTACAAAAGAACCTGCCAAGATCAAAGGAGATGGTTTATTACCGACTCCACCACTTAGCCACAGACTGGTTCCTTGTGAAAGTTCTGTGGCTATTGAAAGAACTATTACTCGCCCTTTAAAATCTACAGATACGAAAGGTTGTTTGATTTATTATTTTTTTTGTCTGCGGGACTTTAATTACATATACATTATCCTAATTTTTTTCTTTAAAAGGTGCATTTCAAAAAGTAGTGACAAGACCGATTGTTTCTACGCAAGAAAGTATCATCACATCAACGTCTCTTAGTTCCATTGGAACATTAAGATCTATTAGTAATGATCCTAACTATAGCACGGCTTCTATTGGAGATGAAAGTAATAACGCTATACTTCAGCCTCCAGTTAACCCAGTTTTGCTAGCTCAAGTGCATTTGCAAAAATTAGGGCTCAATGATTCTAAGTCGACGCCTTTTCCTTTAGTGACTACCGCAGAATCTGTTACTAATAATATGATTCATCATTACTTGCAACAAATTTCCCAAGTCTCAGTCCCTGACGTTTCTGCACCAAAGGTTTCTGTTCTTTTTCCACACCATCATTTGTCCTCCTCGTCGCAGCAAATGCCTACATCTTCAATTCATATTTCCGGATTAATACATCAATCACCCATAGCTGTTTCTAGTTATTCGGATGGTCCACAGAGATCCAAACTATTGCAATGGACACAATCTAATTCTTGTGCACAAAGTGATTCAGGTACTTCACAGTTCTGCGATGATAAACCATTTCAATCTGTTGATCCAGTGTCAGCAAAATGGGGAGTTATTGCAGCTCCACGGTTGTCACCGACACCTGCAGAATTTAGACCAGGTGTTCCGTGGAAATCACGAACTGATACATTTGATGAGAATGAATTAAAACATGACAATATAAATCCGAAAAAACAAGTTACTCGAGTTATAAACAATTCATTTTCTGTCACTAGTAGTGTTACTTCTTCAATTCTTGTTTCTACAGTTAACAAGCATCAACCAGATCATTTATCCAGGAGAACACCGCCTGGACTTCAAAGTGATCTAAAAGATAGATCTGAAAATCAGTTTTGTTGGTTAACATTAAAAGGGATAGCTTCTGCTGTGAGCACTATTTATACTATTTTATAAAAATAACTTTGAATATATATATTTTTTTTAATAACAAAAACCTATTACTTATAACGTATAGTTATAAGTAAGGGAAAAGGTTAAATAATTTCCTAATAAATAAATTAAAATTTATTGACTCTAATAATATTTGACTCAAACTTGTTTAATAAAAGTTAACCAAATAGTTTGTGTTAAATATTTTTAATTTCAGTATGTTGCTTAAATTTTTTTATATATTAAAATTAGGTTGAGCTTTCCAAAATTCGTCAAATTTGTTCTCAATTTGGAACGGTTTTACATTTACGCGTGATCGGTGACGTAGTTTACGTTTGCTTTGAGACTAGTATTCAAGCACAAAATGCTTGCCTATCTCTTAACGGAAAAGTTGTTTCAAATTCTCAAATTGTTGCGGAAGTTTCAATAGAATCAGATTTTAATCACATTGTATCAAGTCCAGTTCATGAGATAAATCAGCCATTTTCAAATATGTCGTCATTTGGAAATGCGTGGACATCTGCGGGCGAGAAAATATATACCCCACCGCTTTCTCACATGTATTCACAACAAAACTTCCAACCTGCTTACGTATCTCCTAATGCTCTTATAAATAGCGGTTTTAATCAATGGACTATGGGTGTTCCCCAACCTTTGTATTCTAACTCTAATCAGCTTTGGACAACCGCCCAACAACAATCCAATTTGTATCAATGCTACACTCCCAATAATTGGCATCCTGCGACCTCGTCTGATATTACTCAGATCCATCCTATGTTTAGTGCTGATATAGATCGATATATACCTGAATTAATTGTAAAGTGTAGGGAACCTACTTCATGAAATTGACAGAAATATAAAAGATGAATAATGAAACCCTGAAAAATGGGTGTCAGTGCTTGTTTATCTTAATGTCCATATTTAATAATAATAACCTTCTTTGTTCTATGTGTTGTTTGCAATGTGTACCCCTGAAACACGGGGTTTCTATGTGTTGCTTACAATATATGCCCCCTGAAATACGGGGTTTTCTATACAAATTATTATCTGCAATCCTGAAAAGGTTTATTGTAGAGTTGTTTTCTGTTGTGCGTGCAAACAATTGTAAAAGTTTTTACCAAAAGATACAAATATTTAATTGTTTTTTAATTTGATGCATTAGGACGGTAATTTAAAGATTTTTTAAAAAAAGGTAGACTTTTTTTTTAAATAAATTTGAAATTTTCATAAGAAGTTACTAAAGTAAACTTATTCGTGCGATAGTTCTAACTAAAAATCGTCTTTAAAAAATTAAAAACTAACGTGAAAATCGCGATATTTTAGTTAAATAAAATATAAAATAAATTCGTCAGTGGTTACATGAAATATAAGTCATTTTAATAAAGACAAAAAGACTAAAAATACAAATAAACTTTAACATTTTACTTTTAAAAAAAAGGGGAATGATATGGGATAAAAAATATCACTTGATAGGTTTAAAAACTACCTTTGTAGGGTAGAGCGGGGCGTAACGGGACAGTTATGCCTGAAGTCTTGTATCTCAACTAAAAATATTTTTTATCACAAAATTCTTAATTATTGTGCTTTATTATTGTAAATAAAATTTAATTTTAAAATTACCAAAATGCATCAGTAAGTTTGCGAAAAACAAAATTTGTGTATTTTCTTGAGCGATGTAATGTCAAAAGATTTTGAATGCGAATTTGCTTTATTTATAAAAAGTTTTTATTTTTCAGACAGTATTTTTTTATCCTCTTTTAGAATCTGGTTTTTAAAAAATATTTGGAATTGAAATTTTTGATATTAATTATCAAGTATTAATTTCAGTAAAATGGTTTTTGTGGGGTACATATGGACAATAAGCTATTTATATAATTGAATATATTACTACCATTAGTTGATGCTGTTTACAGTTTAATGATTTTGTTTTTAATCTAAAACATTTTTCTTATCTATAAAATCAATTTTAGTAATAATTTCAAAAAAATTCTTATATTTATAACTTAACCTCAATTATTAATAGTGTTTAATGTAAACAAAGAAGGTAAGAAATGATTTAAGAAAGATCAATCATCCAAAATGGAATGAAATGCAGTTTTAGCTGCTGGTGAAAAGGAACTTAAAACTAGAAAAGCTGTTAATACATATGGCATATTTAAGCTTGCTCTACATTAGCATATTGCTAATAAGCAACCTCATCAAATTTAAATTCAATTTCAACTTTAGTAGTAGTAACCAATTCAATAATATATAGGTTAGAGTAAAGCGGAGGTATTTTATAATACCTCCGCTTTACTCTATTATTATTAATATTACTCTATTATTATTAACAATACTTTACTCTAATATTAATACCCGCAGGAAAAAAAAAATTTTGTTTTAGCTGGTTTTTTTTTTTTTTTTTTTTGTGGTATATGGGTGTAAGTGTGTGCAGTTTCTATGGTTATGTTACTTTTTTTATAGTTTAATGATTGAACATATTTAGACGCCTTCATTTTTCATCATTTTTAAAGCTTTACGATTGACGAATAACTGCTGCTTTTTAATTGTCCGGTTTTGTCCCACCCACTTGCAAAATGTAAATGTTTTGTGTTCCTATATGTCCCGTTCTACCTTAGCAAGCAGCAATGCATTATTTCAGATGAATATAAACACCCCAAACTAATAAAAGTAGGATGTGATGTTCTTCAAGGTTCCATTCTTAGATCCCTATTATTTCTTTTATATGTTAATATTTTTGCATAACTTCAAAAAAACTTGATATAATTAAAATTGCGGATAACACCAAATTATTTTTTACTCGATATCAGTTAAAGACCTTTTCGAATGTAAGAACAACGTGCTTGAAAATCTGAACATCTGGTTGAATGTCTCCGTGTATAGAAGTTTATTCCTACTTATTTATTGTTCTTATACTTTTTAATGTATATGTTGGTTTACTTCTCTATAAAATTCTGATGAGAAGATCCTTTTGATCTTTCTACAGATACATAGCAATTTTGTAAAAGTTTATTAACTTTTTGTTTATCTTATTCTTGTTAAATGCTTATTTAAGGTTCTAACGACATGGTCCTCGCGATCTTCTTTCAGATACATTGTTTATATTTGTTATAGTTTCTATCATTGTAAGTTTATACTATTGTTTTTATTATAGGTTATATAAGTACAACAACCAACAAATGTAAATCAAAAAATAATTTACTCCAAAATTTCAAAAAATATAGCAAAACCTAGTCAAAAAGTCTTATAGGATATTCTATAAAAAGGATATAGGGCATTCCTATAAGAAACTGGAACAGGATTTTCTATAGAATAACGCGATTAAATACAACCTATAGGAATTTCTTAAGGATATAATTCCTATACAATCCTGTTCAAAACCTTATCATATAAGTCTTATCACATAAGATAACGATTTAAAAGTCCTATAGGTATGGACGTGCAGAAATCCTAAAAAAATCCTGTTCCAAAATCTTGTAGGAGTATCCTATCCTATAAGACACTGTATATAAAGTCTTATTAGTGTGGGCGTACAGGAATTCTATTCAATAGTGTTCCAAAATCTTTTAAGAGTGTATCCTACATATATACAATAAACAATATCCTATAGTTTTATATGCGCAGAAATCCTACTTATTTAAGTAGGATTTCTGTACAACTATACTATTCATTCGGTGTCTTACAGGATAAAAACTCCTATAAGATTTAGGAACAAGATTGACTAGGATTCCTGAACATATAAAACTATAAGGTATTGTTCATTCAGAGTCTTATAAGTCATCGAACGAACAATATCTTATAGTTTTATATATACAGTAATCTTATTCAATCTTGTTTGAAATTTTATTACTCTTTAAAGTTGTTAAGGATATTTAATACGAATACCCTCTATAAGAATATCATGGTTTAAAACAGGTTTGTTTATAATTCTTATAAATCTTTTTTCCCCGCATGCTTTATTCATGAACAAACGTGTTTTTGCAGCCTAAAATTTAAAGAAAAAACTGTATAATTTTAAAATCTTTAGTATATTTTATTTATTTTTCTTGAGAAAATAATTCCTTTTTTTATATAATATAGTTGTTACATTATCAGAAATAGCTAAATTGTTTGAAGGCTATAAAAAAGAATTTGAATTTATATTAAAACAACAGGAAAAAGTTTTTATCGACATTATTAGTGGAAACTTAAAAATATTTAATGGGATATTGGAAAAAGTTGAAAAAGATATAGAAGAATTAAAGCATAGTTTAAATTTTCACGAAGAACTAATCGATGAAAAAGTTAAGAAAGCAAATGTTTTCAGTAAAGAAGACAATTCAGAAATTACACGCATAAAAAAAAAGTTAAGGGAGATAGAAGATCGATCGAGATGTAATAATTTATTAGTGGATGGAATTAATAAAAATGAAGGTGAAAGCTGGAAGGAAAGCGAATTTAAGGTAAAAAAAGTTTTTGAAGAATTACTATCTGTTAAAAATGTCCAAATTGAACGGGCCCATAGAACTGGAAAAAAAAGAATCAAGTAAGCCGAGAACAATAGTGATAAAACTTTTGGATTTTAAAGATAAAGTTGCAATTTTGAACAAGTCAAACAATCTGAAAGGGAAAAACATCTATATAAACGAAGATTTCTGATCTGAAACAACGCAAATCCGGAAAGGTTTGAGAGAAAAAATGAGCAGCTGGTAAGTTTGCATACATATCTTATGATAAATTGATAAATCACGATTGGGTTGCAAAGAAAAGCAAAAATTCATCTTCATAATATTTTTCATTAATTAATGGAATTTTATTTTTACTATTACTTATTTTAAATTAAACTGTTTTTATAATGGAAGAAAATTTCGTAATTAAATTTTCGGATGAAAATGACATTCTCGGTGATTATGACACCGACTCAAATTATTTAATCACAAGATGTTAGAAAGTAAATATTACTCCGTTTCTGAATGTTTGCAACATTTAAACAAAATAAATGCACTTTTTCAATTTTAAATATCAATATTCGAAGTTTGAATAAAAACATTGAAAATTTGAAAATATTATTAAATGAACTTAAACACGATTTCAAAAATATATGTTTGACGGAAACTTGGTGTAAAAGTGGTAAAGCAAATTATGAACTTGATCTAGTTAATTTACCAACCACGTGAATTTAATGCAGGTGGGGGCGTTAGTATTTTTATCCACGATTCACTTAATTATACTTTACGTAACGACCTCTGTGTTAATGAAACAGATTGTGAATCATTATGCATTGAATCAGTAAATAAAATTGAAAAAAAACATAATTATAAATAATATTTATGGACCACCATCTGATAACATGAAAAAGTTTAAAACTCATCTTAAAACATTTTTAAACAAAATTAAAAATTCCAAGAAACATATTTATTTGGTCGGGGATTTTAACATCAACCTAATTAACTATGCTTCCAATATAATTGCTAAGAATTTTATAAATACTCTTTTAGAAAATAATTTTATTCCAACAATAAACAAATCAACAAGATATACAAAAAAGTCTTCTATTCTACTTGATAACATCATAACTAACAGTTTTTATAATAGTCCTCTTTTTACAGGTGTAATTTAGACTGATTTATCGGATCATTTTCCAACATTCTTAGCAGCCAATAACATTTTAGTTAACAAATTTGCCACAAAATCTACAATATTTTGGCGACAGATCAATGAAAACACCTTAAACCACTTTAAATGCTGTTTAAAAAATAATGTTGATTGGAATTTAATTTTGCAATCAAGTGATGCTAACAATGCTTATAACTTGTTTCTTGGTCAATTTTGCAAGCAATATGAAATAGCGTTTCCAGAAAAAGAAATAATCATAAATACCAAATCACTTCAAAGTCCCTGGATGTCAATAGGCTTACTAAAATCTTCAAAAAAGAAAGAAAAATTATATACAAAGTATCAAAAAAAAAAAATCTTATAAAAATGAAATAACTTATAAAAATTACAAAAATATATTCGAAAAAATAAAAAGAAACTCAAAAAAGCTTTATTATGCTCAATTATTAAAAAATACCAACGGAAACACTAAAAAAGTATGGAATGTAATTAAAGATTTAATTGGAAAAAATAATTACAAAAAAAAACACTCTGCCAAAAAAT